ACATTAGGCATGATGAGATCGTAGGAGTCGTTCATGCCAAGTCTACCGAGAAGATAAGTAAACCAGAGGTGAGGGGGCAGGGCCACGTACAGACTGTACAGCAGCTTATGATCGTCGTCGTCCTCCTTCCAAGAAGCCAGGTTTGGCCATATGCGGTCTGCGAAGACGCTTTCTAGGTCAGCAAGAGTTTGCTTCGCGCCGCAGATTCGCTTCCGCGGTCCACCCAATGAACCAGCCGACAGAACGAGCGAGGTGACATGATCCAGATGTGCATGGGAGACGAGGAAACAACTGGTACGACGCTTGTTTATCTCATGCTGAATAGTAAGGGACAAGAGACGAACCGCACGAGCGAGTAGATTTCGGTTGCCGAGTATGGCTTTTCGCGTACTGGCTGATCGGGGGTGTCGAAAAGATGTGGGTCAGACTGGAGAAGTTTTTGAACGGTTCCTTGACCGGAGCCTGGTTTATATGGTGGAAATGTTTTTAAGATGTTTTCCTGAAATAATTGATCGTCTTCCGGAACGAACCTGCCTCCAAGGCGACTATACCATCTTCCCAGGCAGCAACAGAAGGCTTGAAGAGATAACTGTCGCGCAGGACAAGTGAGGTGGTGGCTCGTGTATGCGCGTTCACTGCTGACCTTGACAGGTTGGTCTCGTCGGGACCTCCCCCTTCACCGACGACTACGAGGTCAAACATGAGAGATGGGCGACCTCTTTATTTGGCCAGGAACTGTCCGGGGCCGAACAGAAACACAGTGAAGGCGGGCAACCCTGTTGGCTGATCGTGGATCGCGGATGTAGACGCGCCGATAAATAGCAGCAGAGAGGGGTGCTAGTAGAGAGAGAAAGGTGCTTTCGGTGCCCCAGCCTTGTTACAAGTTGGGTTGAGAGAACCCGACTTCAAGACCAGGGCAGTGGCCCTTTATGTATGTATTGACAACCTCAAGTGGCGGAAGGATTGGACGCGTTTGATTGCGTGGCCTGAATGCAATGCATTGACAAAGTTCGATGGACTCGAGAAAATACAAAGACCTTTTACAGGTCATTGTACTTGTCGAACAGCGTCTCAGACAGCCACAGAGATTCGAGAACAACAAATTAACTTATCTTATAGTATGGCTGTTACTTACGAGGAATTTGCTGCAGATCCAGTAATACATGGAAAGTATCAACCCACATCGAAACGTCCCTGAACTTTACTTAGTTGCATATACAGTGGCCCTCCGGGCATCCCTGGCACCGAGAATTGGAACATTTGCTGCATGGCTATTCATTTGCAAGGAATTTGCTCAGTGAGTTTCAGGGAAACTGGAATTTAGTCGGTAATAGCATGCGCGCATCGGCCAACTCAAATTGAGACGCGGCCACTCAGGACCAGTTGATTCTGTTGAACAGCATGGAATATTTTGTCGAATGATTCGAAGTTCGAGTCTCCACTGTGGGCGCAACAGGAAAGGATTGATCTGACTGAGTGCGAGGCACATCTTGAACACCTTTCAACGGAAGCTAGCACATGAATAAATAAATCAATTATGATCCTAGCGTCCCTGCGCGAGGCTCGAGGTCACATTCCTTCAAGGAATGTGCGCGTGGATTTCAAGCATCCTATGAGTCAAACATTGAACTTTTCATGCCCTCCCCGAACTCGCATTGACACTTAGCTATAAATTCATTTTTCAGTAAATATTCTAGTTTCAACTGAAAAGGAACTCAAACTCGTAGTTCTGGGGCTAGTTTACTGCTTGGTGGGAAGTTTCGACCCAAGTTCAACTTCCAACCTGAAAATTTCCTAAAATGGCAATTGAACCCGAAGCTGAACTTGTAGTCGAGGTTGTACTTGAATGAAGTTTGCCATAAATCGTAAGAAGTCTTACTTGGGTCTCACCTAGACTGCTGTGAAGTCTGTTGTACCAGAATTTTAAATCATTTGTCTGAACGGCCAGCCATCATTCGGCCAAATTGACGGCCGATCTCTTGTTGATCCCTTGTTCGCAGTGATCGGCATCGCTTGTTATTACTCATGTCCGGCTTTGCCCTGGGTTCATCTCACTGCTCTCTCCCTCCATTTTCCTGATTTGATCTGTTTGAATCTGGCTTCCTGAGATTCTCACCAATCTGCGCAGTTGCTTCACAGTTTTCTCATCTTTAAGGGTAACACGAGAAAAAACAAGTCATTGAGGTCTGTTTAGTACTCGTTCGTCCCCGACGCGACTGCTCAGATAAACTTCTATACAGTACGTAGTTTGTCTTGTTCCTCACTGTTCAGTGTGGAGGAAATGCCCTCAATCTGAGTGGATCTTGAGAGGGCTCCCGGCTTTGCCACATGAGCTGAGCTCGAGTGCGTAGATCCACCTGAGCTGAGAGGTTTTCACTCGACAGGGGAAGGTCAGATCAATATTCTATAGATATATAGAGACATGCATATCCATCAGTGCTCTCCACCTCTAATATTAATGATCTTTAATGCAATGTCCTTGCAAAAATTGCCAACCATCTAATTGCGGCCTGTATTGAGTTCTCGGCGTAGAAATCTCCCTTGGAATCGCACTCACAAGTCTCGTGTTGCAAGCTGGGAAGGATGTTTTACTTAGAACAATTTCCTCCCCGCTGTCCAGAATATATGGGCCGAGGCGGCGAATCCATACACAAGAAGACTTTTGCATTTTGTGATATTTCAATCCAAGCGTAGTTAACAGAAATTCCAAAGAGCCGAGAAATAGTACCAGCATGATCAGATTAGATGTAGATCAAACCTGACCCGCATTCAATGCATGTTGAATTTAAAAAATATTTTGCCGTGAAGAGATAGGTCGGGGTAGTAAAGTAGAAACGAACCTTCAAACGACCCAAACATTCAGAGAAAATCATGCACGCTGCGCAGTAAGAGGAAGAGAAGATGAATTTTAACCATGACCGCTTTGGTGTTTGTGAGATGGATTCCAGTCAACTGAAATGTTCAAAGACCTGAACAAAACACAAATGGGTTGCCGGAAATCTTCTATAAGTCAGGGGACGTTACCACACCGTATCGGAGAAGTAGAGCAGCAGGGAAATCAGCTTGTTGAAAAAGACGCCTGTGCACGGGATCCATGTATCTTCAACAGAGCTCCAGTACTGGTGAGTTGAATAAGTAGAATTAACAGCGGAGAGAGCTCAGATTCCAGAAGTGAAGAACTCACTGATCGTTGATCCGATAAACATCGTGAACACATACCGCCCAGATTGAATTTGAGGTGTGTCAAGCAAAATAAAATTTCCGAGACAGAGAAATACCTGCGGGGGTCCTGAGCAGAGCGTAGCTCATTTGAATTGATTCAATCTTGGTAAAGATGTATCTGAGAATGAGTAAACTTTCTCAACAATGTAATTCGAACCGAACCTGCGAGAGGAACAAATTCTTGAAGATGGTGAACCCTGCAAGAGAGTACAAATCAGTTTGCACGAAAGAAATTCACTGTCAGTGAGAAACTCGGATGGCTTAGAGAACTTGAGGTCTGTTTGCTACATCCAAGCAGAAAATGAACTGAAAAACTGAGGGGTTGAATGGCAAGCGATATTCATGCGATGCAATGAAGTGAAATTGGAGAAAGGTGCCGACCAGTCGACTAGCTCGCTGAAGCAAGAAGGGTCTGAATCTTTGTCATTGTCGACCTCGGGCAGCAAATGACCGAGATATAAATGCGTTGGATTCAGTCATCATACTTATTAGCTTGTTCTGAGTATTCATGAACAAACATGAGCAGAGAGCGGAAGAGTCGGCTCACCAAGGCTCTCAGGCACATAGCTATGAGAGGCTGAGATCAAGAGATGGGCTTGTTTTGATTAGTCGATGCAGCGTCCATCTATCCTATTAGCAGTCGGCTGCGAATCTTTTCTGGCTACTTCCCCTGTCCCGATCCCGCATTAAACGAGACGAAAACAATTAGATTAGTTCAATCAACGCAAAATCAACGGTGGAATATTTACCGCGAATCTCAATGGAAAGAACCTATACAATCTAGTACACACGCATCGGCACCCACTAGTACTTATCCCAGATCTAATAGAGTCGGAATATTCAGGACTCCAGCCGTCAAGTACAGCAACAGGCTAGCTCAATCAGAGCTCATTGCTCTAGTCAAGCAGGTCAAGTCCGTCACAGATACCATTGGGATACTATAAAAGAGGTGTTGGCAGAACAGAAAGATGTTGGAAAGATGATTCGAAAGAGCAAAGATTGAAAATGCAAGCAAAATGCAAGGCAGAGTCTGCGATCCGCCACATCATATCATCGACTGATGATCATTGATGAATGATATCGGCTCCATCCAATCAAATCAGGCAAACGAACTTGAAGTTGAAGTTCGTGTCCATAACTTCAAACATCGATGGACCTCGAGTACAAAGTGGTAGCTAAAATTTTCATCCTCTTCATGCTGCTCGACTTCCGGTTGCCAACTTCAGATCAAAGCTCGAATATTTAATGAGAAATGAGGTCATACTTAGCGGCACAAAACGACTGTTTGAAGGAGCTGGCTATTGGTAGCAATGAATTAGACAGAGATTTTACATCAGGTTGAAGTTCATGAACGAGCCACTGCAAGTCCCAAGCAAGTCCGAGTTCGGAGTCACCGGTGACCGAGCCCATTGCCAGGTGAAAGTTGCCAGTGCTGTCACTGCTCGAATTCAATGCCCAGAGTTCGGGGCTTGACCGGTTGTGGTACTGATTCAGTCAGAAAGGTGTTGTTTGGGCGGTGGTGAGTCGCAATGGACGTATGTACTGAGCACTGGCAGTGAGCAGTGGACTATGAGGGAGGAGAGACTAAATTGAATCAATGTTCTGTGGTACTCCGAACGCCGAATAGGCGATCAAAAGATTGGGTGTGACCAGGTGTGACCGTTACAATCATTGATCTCTGATCTGGTCGTGATTTTGAGAGTAACGCGTTCGACGTTTGGAGAGGAAAACCTAGACTGGTACCAGGAACAACAGCAAAAGAAAAAACTAAAATAATCAGTCACTACCGTGGTTCGAACACGAGGCCTTACGATAATGATAACGAAAATTATTGCAATCGTACGCTCTACCACTGAGCTATAGTGACTTAGGCGGAGTCCGCAAGTTAACATCATGATGCACCAGCAGAGGTTTGGCACAGCCCCCATTTCAGTTGCCGTAAGTGACGCACCCATTTTGTCCAGAACCAGAACGAGACTGCTCAATATGGCAGAAAAGAACGAGGTCGCGTCGAAGAACGAAAAGTAACCCTGTCTCTTCGAGTCAAGATTTCTTTGAAACCTCATTCTATACCAGAGTCTTCCGGGTGTTCAAAGACAAACTGTCCAGAACTGACAAACTATCCGCATTTCTGTGTAAAGTTCGGGTCATGGCTCAGTAATGAAAAGGCATATTATCCCGAAGCCCGACCTACGGTCATAGTTCTGGAAGCCCCATCCGTGCGTATACTGACCTGCAATACAGATTGTGGAAATTCTATTGGTGTTTTGATTCTCTGCGCCGTCAATGACTTGAATGAGTTCTAATTGGTTGAAAGATCGCAGAAGACACCCTCCGCACGGCAATGCACTCCATGGGAGATGCCTATCCCGCCCTGGCTTCTGCTTTCATTGGACTTGTGAACACTGTAGCGCCTTACCAGGACCGCTTTGAACAAGATCTGCAAGGTCAGCAGGTAGATTTCAACGCGCTGCAAGATTGAACGGTATTTGTTGTCAAGCCTCCCTTCAGCATCTTTTGCGTACTGTTCAAGAAATGCAAAATCCTCCCCAACATCAAAATCCTCCTCCGTAATCTATTGCCTTGGTCTGCCGCCCTGCACCTAAGAATATCTGCGCTTCTAGGCATACAGCACAAGATACGACACCATTTCCGACAGCGCCTGTCATTGAACCTGGTCAACGGATGCGCCCTAGCTCTTCGTCCTTGGCCGATGCCTTGACACCCACTTCGGCCACTCAAGTTTCTGCCCCTTCGCCCCTGGAATCGAAAGTGGCATCTGGTTCTGCCGCTCCTCTACCAACAACGGATGCTCCTCAGATACCCATCACAACAACAGTAATGAAGCCTGTCTTATCCATTCGTCCGCCTGATTCTTTCTCGTTCAGATTCAACGTGTTCCGTCGTCCTCGACCACCCTCAACCTTAACGTTAACCCAACAATCCAAGCTGTCTCTACTTCTGCTCCCGCGCCAACTGTCAAAACCAAGAAGAGGAAGAAGAATAAGAAAGACGATTTCTCCAGTCTGCTTCAAGTTGATGTTCAGAAGTATTACGAGAAACGAGGCGTGAAGCAAAGAGCTTCAGAAGGAATCTCCTCCCCAGTAGTTGGCACACCAATAGACCTCACTCAGGATCCTCCTGCATCAACTGCTTATCCAGTCCAGGTTCCAGAGACTAGCACCCTTGTGACTGCTGCCGTGACGCCTCCGCCTCCGCCACCCCATGTTTCCTCCCTTGCTGAGGGCACTCGGACCGCTTCAGCTCCGATGTCTGTTCCTGATTCTTCATCCGTTATACCCACGCCGGGGCCGCCTTCTCGCCCTCCGACCCCGGAACACAAACCACCATCTCCTGCGGACAGAGTACAGTCCATTGATGGCTCAAGCATGATGGAGGTCGATCAGCCACAGTTCCAAGATGCTGATATGATGGTATGTTCCAGTGCAGGTATTACCGTACAATCAATTCAAGATGATCTCTCGTACTGTAGATAGCAACTTCCGGAGAGGGTGTTCAACTGTCCTCTGAGATGAACGACGAAGTTAACCGCGTGCTCTTCAATCTGACGGGGGTCTCGCATCTAGCAGTGGCCGATAGTACTCTCGAGGTTGACGAGACGATACCTCCACCGACATCTGTGGCCGTGGACCACTCTGTCGACCCGCCACATCCTACAGCAGATGCACATTCATCCATCAAAGCAGAAACTGAAAATGCTGTTGAGAGTGCCGTTGACGACGCTGTAGACATGGACCTCGATGCGACGCCAGAACCTGTTCCTGTTCCTGCCCCTGCGCCTGAGGTCAAAGTAGACCCTACGCCAGTAATAACGTCCCCACGAACCTTTCACGCAATTATCGAAGAAATCGTCAATGACGCCAACAGACGCATGGCTTCGGTATTCAATCTCGTAGCTCATGACTGCGTAACTCCTACTCAACGGGGTCTAGCAGGCTCCCCGTCAAGAAGACTTACCGCTTCCCAAGACCCCAGCTGATTTTATCGCGGACGCTACGCCGTCAACGAGTGCGTTTTGGCAGGCTCGTATCATTGCAATCCTCAGACTTCCCGCAGAAATTGACCTTGGAATCTCAACGGTGGTGGCTCAGCACCGCGGGTTAGCCAGTGGCACAATCATCTTGGACTTTTCCGTCAAGCAACACCACGCGGATGGGATATTAAAGTGGACGACTCGTTCAGAACATTACGAGTAGGTTTCCACTGACATAAGTGGCCTTCTACTCTGACTCGGAATAACCATGTAGCGCACTCGAAGACAGTTTCTGTCTGAGTCTTCTATGTTTCAAGACATCTGACATTGAATCGATGACTTCTATGCAAAGTCGAGATCTTCAGGTCGTTCTGCCTTGTTTTAAGTGTTCTTGGCCCCAGAACGGTAAACTTCCGCGTCATCCATGTCCTGGCTTCCGATTTATGCTCATCTCTTTCAAGGTGGGTTATCTCTGGACGCGCCGTGGAAAGGCCAACGTACAACATTTCCATTGTCGCCGCCTTTTTCGGTGCGTCAACGCTTCATCCATCAGCACTGATTTCACTCACGATTCACCAACAGCTACCGCCGAGCGGAGTGCTCGACGTGTCTTTATTCTCGACGCCCGGGCACAACACTTTCCGTATCACCCAGACGCGGGACATGACTGGATATTTTCTCCTCCTTTGTGCGCACAAACCTACCCCCTCGCAGCTTGCTGCGGTCGCGCGCCGCCGCCACAAGGAGAAGGACTGGGCGGCTTGGCTCAAGAAAATATCAGACCCGTTGCAGCTACCGTTCAGTACACCTAGTATCCAGTTGTAATTTAGGAATGCAGTGTATATCTTGTATAGCTAAAAGCATAATTTCTCTGCGACGCTAAACCACAGTTGGTCTGCAGAGAGCTCGTTCCATCGAATCCTGAAGCGGCGCTCCTGAACGAAATCGAGCTTCATTTACATAATTCCAAGGACGGCCGCTAGAATTGGTGGAAATTGTGATTTAGTGTGTAACCGTTGGTTTTGATTGAGCGCATGCTGTTTCTATCCTGTTTTCGCTCCCAACGTATGCCAACGAGTGTCCACCGGATACTTATCCGATTTTAATGGTGTAGTATAAGACATACAGCAGATCTAAAGGTTACTCGTGCGTACAACAAGCGTACAGTCCCAACGTGAGAGTAGAAAAACAGGTTTCATGGCATACATTCATTAATATCATCACAGTAAGGAATGTGCTACTTAAATATGTACAGTATACAGATTAAGTTACTGAAGTCACTGAGCGAATGTTGGAATTGGAATCCTACTGGTGGAAAGCCTTCTCGAGGCTGGTGTTACATCAGACGGCCGCCGCCTCAGAGGGGCAGCGGCATCTGCATTTTCTTTGCCCTGCTGAATAGCGGGCGATGATGGTGTTGGCGGCTTCACAACCTTAGTTTTACCCGCGACCACTGTGGCCGACGAAGACCGATTGAGTGGTCGCGAAGCAACTGGGGGTGAACCGACAATCGAGGACCGAGATCGGAGCGGGGGAGGTCCCATAGATCCACGCTTCGAAGGGGTTGGCGCGACGGAAGTACTGAGGCGCAAGCTTTTGCTCAGAGTAGGTGCGTTTTTTATGGCACTTTCGGTGGAAGGTTTGCGCTCCCTGGAAAGATCGACACCGACTTCGGAACTGAAGGAAGGTGGCCGCGACATCTTAGGAGCAACGGAGACAGAAGATTCGCGACGATGATGTGTAGCCGCAGGGGGTTTTGAAGCCGTAGTATTCCCTGCGGTTCCACGGACGCCAAGACGTCGCTTGAGCTTTTGGGATATTTAGCTCGTGCCGTATACACACAAAAAGCAACTCACCAACTCCAGTTCCTGTTGCTTTGAGTCCAACGCGATGTTCAGACCCTCCAGGTCAAGCTTGTCTTGCGAACGCTGCTTGGTAATATGTACTATCTGAACTTCCTTGTCCGCACTTTCCTGCTGCAGATCGCGATTTTGACTCTTCAGTCGGTCGACGTCAGCCTGGAATTCATACAGCGCCGACGCTTGTGTGTCGATCTCCAGTTGTTTCCTTCCCGAGTCCTGGAGCGCAACTTCAAGAGCGGCAGCGTGTTCCCGCTGCATCCTAGCCAGCTGCTGGCGAAGCGCTTCCACTTCACCCGTACTCCTTTCCCGGTCGCGTAGCCACTCTTGCTTCAATTCTACGACCTGATTCTCGCTGCGCTTGAGTTTCTCCAAGATCTGATTAGAGCGCCCTCAGTAATCGAAATTGTGATGCGAAAGGCGGCATACCTGATCTCGTTCACTCTCCAAAGACTCCTTGACACGCCACACTCCTCGTAAATCATCCTCGAGATCGACAGCCTTTTGTTCGGCAACTTCAACGCGGGCATGCCTCTCTTGCAGTTTGCCAACTTGGAGCTTGAGCGAATCACGCTCCATCGCAAGTGAACACTTGCCCGCCTCTGAGACCTCGGCAGATCTCGCCAACCTGTCGGCGCGGTCACAGGCGACAGCGAGCTCCGCTTTCAGTTCAGCGATCTCGTCGTCCCGAGCGTCGATCCGCTGCTTAGACACAAGAAGCTCTTCAACCAGCTCTGCATTATTGCGCTGAAGATCGTCCTTCTCCGTATTCCAAGCCATCTCGAGACTTTGATGCCGCTGTTTCTCTTCTTCCCCGCTTGTCTCCAGGGCCAATACGGCTGCTTTCAACGCTTCCTCGGCCATTCGTTCCTGACATTGCTTTTCGCTTAGACTGCCCAAGGAGTCCCTCAATCTCGCTGCCTCATTGCGTCTTTCACCCGCTAACATCTCTAGACGTCGTAACTCCTCCCGGAGAACAACCTCCGTCTTCTTCCATGCGTCCCTCTCCCGTTC